TCATTAAATAAATTTGATCTAATTGAACATGTATTTAAGTATGGCAACCTAGTTTTTCATTGGCCATAACAATTTAGCAAGCAAGCTAGGTGCCTACTTTTGCCAAAATAATTATCTAATAATTGAGAAAGCTATGAACTAACTTTGTTTATGAAAAACTTAGGCACACCATTAATGCGATAAAGATTTCTGAACCATATAAATTATATGCAAGCAGCAGCTTTTTTTGAATCTGGTGGCAAACCTATCATCCATAGATTTTTGGAATGGCCTTCAAATATGATGGTCAACCCAAATTCTTTCGTGAAATCAATAATTAGTTTATGTAGAAAATATGAATCTCTCATGTTTTGGTGCTCGTTTGGATGTGCTTTTAAAATTACCGAAAGCGTCTTTAGAAAAAAAAATGTTTTTAGGTTCTAAAAGCACTTTAAGCGCTTTCTACAAGAAGCATTGTAAGACAGATGCTTAACACAGACCATAGATCATAGATATGCTATTAAATCACGAAGCACAAGAACAATATTGCAATGCAAGGACAAGAAGAAAACATACCTGCAGAATTCGATGTAGAAGAAGAAGCCATGACTGCTAGGGTATCAAGGAGGAACTGGATTCAAGAATACAGCAAGACACGTAAAGCACCAAGCCGTGGCACTGCATGTACAATCCGACTTCTCCATCTTCTTTAACTGTCACATAGACACATACCAAGACACCCTCTACACACAACCTTCTCCTCTCTGCAAAACTCAATGCTCTCCAAGTTATAGGTAATTGGAACAATAAGAGCGTGTTTTTGTGAGAGCAGGGGCTTGTGGTTTTTATACTACAAAATCTGGATTACCCTATAATAATCCTACAAGGAATACAAGACCAAATCCTTGTACAAGTATGAGTTCTATTCTCAAGCCAACATAGAGTTTCAATCAAACCAGTTGAATTAACTCTTATAAACACATTAAGACCTCTTTATACCAATCTGAAATAACAATGATTATTACTAAACTGTGAGAATCACACTCATACTCTAACATTCTCCACTTGAGTATGATTCCAACAAAATAACCATCTCAAATTCAATATAAAGGTATACATAATCATTCATCAACACAACTAGTACATAGATACAACCAGCTTACATAAACCAAAACAATGAATTATAATTGCCTCTGCAACACAAAATACATTTTTAACTTATAAATCAAATCCAGTTCATGTTCATAGCAATGTATCTAAGCTCAAGAGTAAACCAAGACGTCTACTCCCACTCATATAGCCCAAATAAAATATCAAAACAATAAAAACTTAAAATTATTCATGATTGTATGAATAGCACATTATATCAATCAACAACTTTATCATATCACCAAATCTTTTTGGATAAAAAAGCTTAACCTCACATACAATATATGCATTTTTAAGTATTGAACTTAAGAATCTTTCTGTTACATCGCAGAATTAACTCAAAAGTTACAACAGACTTAATTTGCACTTTGTAATTATGTGAACCATTATAGCAAACCAAACCAATTTGCTCCCACTTATCTAGGCCATACTCAACACAAGTTAAGTACAAGTTAATAGCAACTTTTAACTAAAAATCATTCCATACAATGAATGACGAATCAGATCCATATGAAACAAATTCGTTTTTTTTGAATAATAGGATCTTCCCATTACTTAAACAAATTAAGTAACACAAAAAATTCAACCAATTGCTTCAATAAACCATAAACTGGTTTTTAAGCATCCATATGATAATAATGGCCGGCTAATAGCCTTAAGCTTACATTCGAACATATGATTCTCCCACCTAAGCATAAGCAGAATATACTGCACAGCTGAAAAGAAACGAAATAATATTGGTTCCCGTTCTTACCTATTGCATAATACAAATTTAGTGCATATACACCTAAACCATTATGCCAAACAGTCTATGTATCAAAAGATAGTCACAATCCATTCAGAAAAACTTATCTCACATAAACCCAAAATCACCAGTTTCAACAATGATCAAAATCAGAATAGCAAGCACAATACTTTTGCATTCAATTTTATCCTAACTAGTTCAATATATAGTTCAATATCCATCGAGCAAGATCAACCAAATTTTGATAATGTCTGGATATATATCACAACAATATGTCTTGATTAAAACGAGATAATCAAGACCACTATTTCTTCTGGAGAACTCAAAGTTCATCTTCCTCCCTATTTGTGATTTCAACCAAAACATAATGGCGAAAGCATGCATCATAAATGAAATCACAAATATTCATATACAATAAGCATGCATCTTAAACTCCATGATTTTCACAATACAATAAGCACAGGCTTCCTTATGAATTCATAAATATATACAACATCTCGCATAAGCTAATTTGTTTATCATCCTTGTATATGGATGACACAAGCTAATTCTCAAAATTTATAGCTTGACCTATATAATCATAAGTAAATTTTTAAGGCTAAGATCAATATATATCGCCACAAAATCTAATTTGGGTCAACTAATGAAAATAAGATCATTACAAAATAAAACCCAAATTACACCAATGTATACAGATTTGCCATATATGGACAATAACAATTCTACCCAAAACATATTTCACATATATATGTTCATATATTTTCTTGTATGCATGCATCAATATGCAACGTCTATGCACGAATGCTATCTCCATATACATGTTCAATTAGCAAGAAATTCCTTACATGATACTTGAACCAAAAATTGATGCATTTAGTAAGGATTTTTTTCCAAAAATATTTTCACCAAAAGCGTTTTTAGTCATTTTAAAAGTACATTCAAACGAGCTCTTGGTTTTTTGGTTAATGATTTCTCAAATTTTCGATCTTAAAGTACAAGTAAAAGAGTTGATTTGTACGAACAGGACAGCATAACTTATACTTTGGAGATGCTATCAACCTTCTTATTTGTGTGTTGTACGATAATCAAAATCTTCTACATTTAAGCACTGTTTAAGTTTATTGTTTAAAGAGGAAGAAAGTGAGGGTTTCACCATATATATAATTAGCAATATGGAAAGTAGCCAACCTTCTTTTAAGGGGAACTTTAACGAAAAGCTCACAGTACTGTTCACTTTAATGAAAAACCACATTTTTACACTAAAAAATCAATTCTGGTACTATTAACTTTACCCTTTATTTTGTCCTTATCGTTAAAACTCAAAGTTTTCAAATCATTTTCATTAGTTTTCTTTTTTTAAAACTCTTGCATGGTTTGGTCCTTCGTCATGTGTGGCGAATTCTCAATGCTAACACATAGGCAACACAGATTAAGTGAATTTTCAATCGTAACAAGTGAGTAACACAAATTGGGTGACGTGAAGCATGTGTGAATTTTCGATCAACATTGTTAAAGTTTTAGTGCTAATTGACTATCATGGTTTGTCTATTTATTTAGTAATATTAAAAATGAGTATTTCAAATTAATTTATTTTTTATAAAACTGATTGCTAATGAGTAACTTTAATTTATTTATTTTTCTGTATTGTCAACTGATCTTGTATAACATTATATAATAAATAAGAGAATGGAGAAAGTCAACAGAAAGATTGCTAGAATTCCCCCACTGGAAATTACTCATCTAGATCACCATTTTAATTGAAGATTTTACGGATAAAAAAAAATAATTCAAGAAGTTCATAAATATGTTTAGGTAAAAATGTTCATGAAATTGTACTATGGTCTTATAGTATTCCTCTTCACTTATAAGTGAGAGATCTTAGGTTGAATTTCATGGATAACGAATTCGATATCAAATTTGGTTGCCCATGTGACTTAGCCAAACTCTTCATCTCCTGAGTCTAAAATATATCGTTATACTAAAAAAAAAATTATAACATTAAATTATGATAGTCTACATAATTTTTATTAGAAGTTACATTAACAAAAATAATTATGTTAAATTTATTATTTAATAATCTCGAACTAAAAATTTAATCCAAAAAAATTAGAACATAAAAACTTTTTTTGAGTCAAAATTTAAATTTTCTTTGTTAAAATTTTTAAATATGAATTCAAGAGTGGGAGAGGATCTTACAGTAACTTTATGAAACAATTCAACCCTTTTTCAGCTGAGCTGAAGGACAGGTGAAGTACCCTTCTCAAAAAGAGCAACTCCGCAGGGGCATTGATTTTGACTAATCACAGCGTGTTTTACAGACGACTGACATTCACGTGCCCTATCCAAGCACAAACGCCGTTATCTACTCGTTAACCCTCTCCCGATTAGGAAATCGGGTCAGCTGGACGGTGTTAGTCAACTGCCTCACAAGTCACAAATCCACATTTTGGTCCTCTCTAATTTTACCTCGGAAGTTGGAAATCGCTCAGTCATCATTAACGTCACCGTTAAAACTTGTGCACCGGCTCGACGACGTACTTAACAACAAATAATTGGGAGTTAACAATTGTTTAACTTTAACCTCCTCGTTAATTGGTGCAAACCTAAAAGTCACTTTATCTCGCGGTTCACGCTGTTTTTTTTTCTTCCTTTTATCCTATATTTGTAGTCAGTGCTTCATAAATTTTACCGGCCACCGGCTACAGTAGACGGTTGAGTAAGTTACAAATTTTCTTTTTTTTTTAATATATTTTTTGGGGGCAAGAACGAGAAGAAGGGATTTATATATGTGCCATGTGGCACGTGATTCCTCCCTACGAACAAGCCTAGGCTTTGGTTACCTGTCAGGGGTGACTAGCGATTCTGGTCTCACTTCTCAAGGTTGAAGAAGCATAACTTTTACTTATATAATAATTAAACCAAGAATCCTAGTTTTTTTTTTTTTTTTTTTTTGAGAATTGCTAAACCCGCATCATTGTCTTATATTTTCTTTTTTTTTTTGATAAAAAAAAATAAAATGCATTGAAGAGAAGAACCCCTTACACAGCCATAGGCATTACAATTGAAAAGAAAAGCCAAATTTGCTTCCATTGGGAGACTAGCATCTCAAATACAAAGCTCATTTCTCTTAAAACCCAACAGAAGCTCTGGCATCCGCAACAAAGTTTGCTTCCCTAAAGATATGCCTCCACTTGATATCCTGGAAATTTGTAGCGCACCACCTGATGTCTTCAATGATGGATCTTAAGTTCCAAGGCACATCAGAAGCACCACGAACCGCATCAATGACAAGCTTTGAGTCACGTTCCATAAACACGTATTTCAAGTTCCTCCTCCTAGCCCAGATCAACGCTTCACGTAAAGCTAGAGCCTCGACAACATTGATGGTCACAGAGCCTAGGTTCATCGCTCCAGCGAGGATAGGTTTGTTATCCCAATTTCTAATAACGAAGCCTCCGACTGCCACATAGTTTGAAACCGAACCATCAAAGTTAATTTTAACGTAAGGGGACATTGGGCATTGCCACTTAATCAAGTTTTCTTCTGCAACTGCTTCTGCTTCCTCTAAGTGACCAAAATTATCCTTGAAATAATCATTAACCGTAGTCATGGCTCGAGTAAAAGATATGTAATGAAAGGGATTTTCATTCTTGAAAATACTAACATTTCTATCATTCCAAATTTGCCAGCAAATTACAAGAGCTTTACTTAAACTACTCACTGTATTCTTATCCAGGTGTGTCAAGCCACCCAACCTCACCTTAAGGTTACCGTCAAAATTTGATTATAAACTATCATTTGAGCATTTCCAAACCTGTTTAGCATATGAGCAATGGAGAAAAAGGTGATCCTGATCCTCCTCATGGCTATTACACAACGAACATTGGGTACTTATATTTGCTATAAACTTGCTAAGCTTCTTTCTAGTTTATAATTTACCCTTAACAAGACTTCAGGTGAACAACTTAATCTTTGGCGGTACTACTTGCTTCCATATCTTGTTCAAAAGCTTTTCCGTTGAAGAGGAACCCGCTGATTTAACCGAGAATTTGCCATTTTTACTTGGGCCCCAAACAATAGTGTCCATCGATGCAGCGAGGGGGAGAGGTATGTCACATATTTTGTTCACAATGTCACTATCCAATACATGGCTTAGTTTCTTTCTATCCGACTGACCGTCAATTATAAACTCATCAACCTTGATATCCCATTAGATACGATGCGTTTGGTTTTCTGATATGAGGTGAAAAAGGAGGTAAGGAAAAACCCAGTTGTGGGTCCAGAACAAAATGTCTTTGCCATCACCAATTACCCACCTCATAACCTTTGAGATAATATCCCTGGAGCCTAGAATGCCTTTCCAAGCAGTCGAATGGTTTTGCTTTGTTCTAGTCTCCATAAAAGAATCACTTCTAAGATATTTCCTTCTAACTATATTAGCCCACCAATTATCCTTATCAAACATTACTTTCCATCCCAACTTTTACAAGACAAGCCTTATTGAAATGTTCAATGTTTTTTATACCTAAACCCCCAACTTGTTTAGGTCTACCAACATTCTTCCAACTCACTGGATTACATTTATGAGCATTATCCCAAAAAAACTGTATGCGGTCTTTATTCAATTAACTGGTTAGTTTATGAAGACACTTGAAGCAAGACATTATGTGATTAGGCATACCTGTAAGGTTTGATTAGATCAGAGTGAGTCTCCCAGCCTTAGACAAAGTATTTGCTTTCCAACCTGTCGGTTTTTGCTTAACCCTCCTGATCAGCTCACTTCCATTCATAGGGTATTTACCAATAGTACTTTTATGCTAGATTTGGAGAATAGTAACTAAATCAATTTTAACCTAGTTATTTGTATTAGAAGAGAAGTATAGGGAAGATTTGTTGAAATTTATTTGTTGTTCTGAAGCATTTGCAAGCTTATTTAAGACCTCAAGAACTTTCCTAGCGCCCTTAGTAGTTGATTTTGCAAAAATAAGATAGTCATCTGCAAAGATTAAATTTAAGACTTTATAGCCAAAAGGGGAGGTGTGCAAACCAATATGGAACTTTGGGGTAATTGCTAAATCATTTAAGCTTCTAATTAAAGGTTCCATGCAAAGAATGAAAATATAGGGAGATAGAGGGTCACCTTGTCTAATACCCCTACTTGCATTAAAATATCCATGGGAATATTAACTGAGAACGAAGTAAAAGTAATGCATTCCATAATTAAGCTAATCCACCTTTGACAAAAACCAAACCTTTCTAAAACACACTTGATATAATCCCAATTAAGCAGATCATAAGCCTTTTCCAAGTTGAGTTTAATGGCTAGATCTCCCATCCTACCCTTCTTCCTGTTAAAACTTGTAAATAATTCATGAGCGATGAGTATATTATCCTATATAGATCTCCCCGGCACAAAAGCTCCCTGGTTATGTGAGATGCATAAATGAAGAAGGGATTTCAATCTGGTAATCATAACTTTTGTGATAATTTTGTAGCTAACATTGCAAAGACATTGGGCGATAATTATTGACCATTTCTGGGTTCTCCACCTTCGAGATTAAAGCAATGTTTGTATGGTTAATTAGCTTAAGGCTAGTATTATTTGCAAAAAAAAAAAAAATCTTTTACCATGTTGCACACTGAGGGTTCAACCAACTCCCAACACTTCTAATAAAAGCTAGTAGGGATACCACCTGGTCCCGGGGCTTTAAGAGCACTAATACTCTTGACAGCATTCCAGATCTCATCATTTGAAGGAATAGCAGTTAACATGATATTTTGATCATTTGATATATGTGGATCAATAACTTGAGAGACCAAACTAAGCTGGTCATTGGTAACATTGTGATCTCTAGTGAACTGCATTTTAAACTCATGCACAAACATTTGTTCCATCCCCTCTCTTCTAGCCCACCAAAGGCCATTACCATCCCTAATCCTGTTGATTTCATTACGCTTCTTCCTTATCGTGGCACTCAGTTGGAAAAATTCTGTATTTTTATCTCCATATTTTAGCATGTTGGCTATAGCTTTTTGAGCCCACATTACCTCCTCCTCCTTAAGAACTTGAGTAAGTTGCTCATTTATATGAGCCTCTAATTGGATTTTATCAAGAAGAGTATTTGTAACATTTGAATTGTCATTAAAAGACATAATTTCCTGCTGAACTTGGTCAAGATCATTTAAAATCTTTTATTTTCTTTCTTTGACCGAACCAAAAATCACATGGTTCCAATTTTTAACAAGGAATGAGAACTTGCCTAAGCAGCCCCTAAAATGAGCTATTGGTGACATCCCCTCACTGCAACTCCAAGCACCCTTCACAAAACTTTTAAAGTCCGATGTAAGTTCCACATGGCCTCAAACTTGATAGCCCTCCTTCATTGCCTAATTTGAGAGTCAACAGTGTCTAATAAAAGAGGACTATAATCTGAACCCAGGATAGGATGATTATGGAGGGAGTAGTTGGGGTGCATTTCAAGCCAGTAGGAATTAGCAACCACTTTATCCAATCTCTAAAAAATAAGCGTTTCATCCTTGTGTTTATTTGTCCAAGTAAAAGGAACACTGGAAGCTTGTAAGGAAATAAGGCCATCATTGTTTAAGAAATTCACAAACTTTGTCATATAAATATTTCGACTCTGATTTCCACCCCATTTTTCCTGAATACTAGTAATACAATTAAAATCACCTAGACCCATCCAGGGTTTATTAACGGGGTTAAGACCTAATAACTCATCCCACATATTCTCTTAAAGAGACTTCTGGGGATAGACATAAACAAAAGTAGTAAAAAATTCAATGTTCAAGCACACATCCTTGACTAAAGCGTGAATAAATGTAGTAGGGACAAAAAGCACAGTAACATTCATCATGCCAGAGTTCCAACAAAGATAGACCCATCCAGGGTTTATTAACGGGGTTAAGACCTAATAACTCAGCCCACATATTCTCTTAAAGAGACTTCTGGGGATAGACATAAACAAAAGTAGCAAAAAATTCAATGTTCAAGCACACATCCTTGACTAAAGTGTGAATAAATCTAGTAGAGACAGAAAGCACAGTAACATTCATCATGCCAGAGTTCCAACAAAGATAGACTCCCCTGGATCTCCCTTCGGGGTTACTACCAAAAAATTGATCAAAACACCTACTAAAACAATTAACATGGGCCTTTTCTACATCAGATTTAGTTTCAACAAAACAAAAGAAATCTAATTTAGCCAAACTACAAAGATAACTAAAATTAATCTTGAACTCTGGTCTTCCCATACCCCTGCAGTTCCACATAATTCCCTTCATCAGTCTAGCTTGTCAAGGTACGCAGATGGTCCAACCTCATCGGCATTCTCCTCTCGGACGCGTTTCCTCGGACTCAGTATTCCTACAGTTGGCCTACCACTTGCTGAAGTTGCTTCAGCCGCAAGCATTGCAACAACAAACCCCTCAGAGTTCTCCCTAGCCTCAATATCACCACTTCCCACATTTGACATCACAACATCCTGATTTTGTTCCAAAATAAACATGGCATCAAAGAAATTTATTTTGCCTAAGCTAAGATCACTAGCATAATAAGACTCAAACATGAGATTTAAATCAGATAGATCATCAAACACACCATTATCATGCAAGACCCAATCATTAAGGAAATTAACAACTAGTCGAAATTTGAATCTATCAATGCCCCGATAATCTAAAAACCCTACACTTACCTGCTGATCACATTCCTTTGCTTTCCTACATTTCCTCAAATCCTGCACCAAGTCTGCCTTAGCCACCCATTTTGGCTTCGGGCTGGCAAACACCTCCTTATACGATCCATCTTCCCTTGAACTATCACCCGATTTTCTATTATCCCTTTTTCTCCTCCACCTTGGAATCACTGTAGTCCATCCCTCCTCATCCGAGCCTTTTTCCTTCACTCGCTGTCCAGATTCCTCATACTCAGTAAAATCCTTCTCCACAATTATAGCATTGGGAAAGCAAAGCATCACATCCTTCTGTAAGCAGGCTATGACATCCTCATCCACAATCACATCCTTCGGGTAGACAGATGACTCATCCTCAAAAACTTTATCAATCATAAAGCAACCATCATCCGCTTCCACTTCCGGACACACATGTCATTCAATCCTTCTTCTTCTTCCGCAATAGAAACAAACCTCAAAAAACAAATCATAGCTAATCAAGATTGGATAATCCTCCTCATGGTTGACAATGAACACATGTTTAAGGGGAAAACGTAAATCCATCTTTAACAGAACTTTTACAAATATGCCATTCAATCCTAGCGTCACTTCATCCACTTTAATCACTCGTCCAATAGGTTGAGTAATATCTTTGATAAACTTTTCCTCTTTATATTAGACCGGGAGCCTAGGTAAACGCGCCTACATAACCAACTTGTTAATGACATAAGTATCCTTAAAGCTTGTTGTCCACCTTTCAAGATGGAAAATTTGGCCATGCACGTACCACGGCCTATTCTTGATGACAAATTTTAGATCATCTTCATCAGCAAACTCGAGAGCAAACCATTTTCTGCCGAAGTGATCTAAATAAAAAGTATTATTCACCTCATTCTTCCATAAGAGTCCCAGCTTCCACTTG